GGCTCAAATTATTTTGCACAATTTGAGAAAATGCCACTCCTAATTTCAGCCATCCAATTTTTCAATTATGCTCATGCCACCTCATCAACACTATCACCACCCATCGGCCCTTTTTTTTAATTAATTTTTAATTATTATTATTTTTAATTAATTTCTTTCTGTTTTTAACTTATTTATCTATCATGTATATTAATCGACTATGATGATGCATAATCGATTAAGGATTTGACTGTTAGAGTAGGTGACCAACAAGCCAACATGTGGCTGTGGTCTTTCGTATTTATTATTGTAATAAACGAACCTTTATTCGTATTAATGATAAAACACCTTGGCATTCTATATCTTTGTCCCTTTGTCACAAGCATATATATAGTCCTTACAGTTATTACAAGTACTAGTAATTGATCGTTAGGATCGTGAGATATTTACTTAAGTATTATAACTGTTAAACGTGTTCCTAGTCGAAGGGTTATGCCACTAATGAGGATATCGGCCTTTCCCATTAAGACTAGCACTTAGTGTATGTGTAATGCATCTCATCAGTAAACGGTATTGTGATATCGGCATGCATAAGTGGGTGCTCGTAAGTTGACGAGTTCACTGAACTCCCTCACCCTAGAAATCTCTAAGTGGTTCCCAATAATCGAGTAGAGATATCTATGGTATAGTTGTACACCATTAGTCCTTATGACCTAGACATCACCGTGACTTCACTAGAGGACCAGCTGTATCGTGACCTGTCCCTGAGTTCCACCGAGGACCATCCCAAGGGCCAGTGTTCGTGCAGTCCGAAATCTAGTGGGAGGTCTGTGCATTGTAGTCGGGGATTCGATCGCTAGAATAGTCTTGGATGTCCTGTGTGTTCTGAAAGTTTGTAATCATTCTAAGTCTCTGGCCAGAGCTGACTAAGTGATGATTAGAGAATACGATTCTCTAAGTCATGCACGTAAGGATTACAACACTTGGAACGATCGCACCGTCATCGAACATATAAAGAGGTCTCGATGAACCAATGCCTCTAGTTCGATCGGGACATATGAATCGAAGGGACCGTACTGTACGTTAACTATATCTGAAGGTTCTTGCAGGCACTTCATTTGTATCTAGGGAATCATGACGCGTAGTTGCTAGACGCCAATCTTGATTCGTTGGGTGATTAAGGTGAAACGAGCTTCATCTTAATCGTAACTCTAAGGGACGAGTTTTGACCACAAAGAGTTGTGGGCCCACGGCTAGCTTACACCTGAACCATCGAGGGTCACACTGCTCGTGCACATGAGATCTTTGAATAAACGGTCAAAGATAAAATAGTTTATCTTTGCATGATTGGAAGTCAATATGATTGGATCCAACATTCGTAATTTGGAATTATGAATGAGAATGAGAAAAGGAAAAGAATAGGCGAACGTGTTAGTAAACTTTCTAAATCGGGAAGTTTCCAAATTTAGAAAGTGCACTGAACTAGGGTTTCCACTTTTGGAAAGTTGGAAAATGAAAGATGCCACTCGTAATGACGAGGATATTATAATGATTCCGAAAATGTAATTGTTGCAATTTTCCGATCATTGAATTAAGAGAGACGAGCAATTAAAGGAACTAACAAACTTAAGCTGTTGGGCCCGGTCCAACTTAAGCCCGCTAGGGTTTTATGCAAGACACTATAAATACAAGATTTATAGGTCTTGCAAAAACACAAGTGAAACCCTAACCCTAGCAGCCGTCCACCTCTCTCTCTCTCGGCCTCTCTTTCCGCGGTCACCACCGCCGTCCTCCCCGCCGTTTCGCCGGAATCGGCCGTCCATCGGCCGATTGGTTTGGTAGCTTCTTTCCTTCTCTTTTTCTTCCGTTTTTCTAACTATTACGTGTCTAGTGCCACGTGTTTAGTAGATCGAAGTATACGAGGTGAAATCCGAGAGGAGGAAGATCGAAGATCAAGGAGTCGAAGAGCAGCGCACGAGCCGAAGCCGCACGCTGCCCCACGCGCCGCCCCGGAAGACCGCGCGTGTACCTCACGCGCCGCCGTGGCCGATTCGCCGCTGCTGTTGCTGCACCGCTGCTGCCCCGATTGTACGGATTGGTTTCCGTAGCAATCTCGACTAGCTAAACGCTTCTACCTCACGCTTCAAGAGGTAAATACACGAAACCCTAGTTTCGATTCGTCTACGTTTAAACTGTGAATTCATGTTTGCTATCGTATGATTTTATGTGATTATGTGTAATCGTTTTAATCTTTGCAAGCATGATTATTGGTTTAAACGCGAGCATGTTAATTGATTTAAATTCGGTTAAATTATTTAGCATGTATGTTGTTTTTAATTTCGCTGGAAGCGCAAAGGTACGCAATTAATTGATTTTAATTTGTCGGGCATGTGCTTGTGTGCTTTAAAGTCGTTTAAATCATATTAAATTTTTGTTTTCCGCTGCGTACACGTGCCCGAAACCCAACACTGACTACTAAAAAAAAACACAACTACATAAAAACGAAAATCAACATTTTTTTTACAAAACAAACAATATACATAAATTGTAATTGATTTCTACAAATCGGAAATAATACACGAAAATCCAAAAAAGAATTAAAAAGTGAAATCGAGTAACCTTAATCAACTACCAAAACAGTCGATTAACACTTTAATCGAGTATCAGAGCATAGTCGATTAACTAAATCAATTATGATGAAGCATAGTCGATTAAGGGTCCAGTTTGCGCGAATTTCTCTACCCGCGCCGTCATCCGCTCAATCTACCAAAAAAATCCTAGATCTACTCTCCATCGTCACCACACGGTTGCACATCACACCAGCACCACTTCACTTCAATAAATTATCTTCTCGACGTCTGCTGCACCACCACTGTCAACCGTCAATATAAAGTACCACGACAATCTAATCTCCACAAAACTCTAGGAAACTTCAACTGACGTTGGGTGGTTCCGCTCCACTCCCTTCTGGGCCGACTAGCTGCAGCCGAAGGACGTGGTCCCCACCGCGCTTGCTCTTCCTCTTCGGTTGATTCTTCTTCTCCTTGTCGGTGGAAGCGGCAGCCCTTGCGACCAATGTCGAGGCTGTTGCCAGAGAAAAGAGAGAGAGAAAAAATAGAGATGAGAGAAGAAATAAACGAGAAAGGAGATGAGATAAATGAAAAATTAGATTATGATTTTGAAAGAGTACATTGAACAATTACGGGTAGATTTAAAATTATAAAAATAGCATGTGAGGGTTTTCTTTAATTATTTTTGGGAGGGGATTTTCCTTAACTACATTTCCTAGATGAGGGGTTCTTTCTAATTTTTTCTTATTTTATATTGTATAAGATTCGTTAATATTGCAATTGAATTTATACATTTATTAAAATTCCGTATATATTGCAATAATTCGTTAATATATTTATATATTGATACAATAAATTATTCTTATATAATAAATTATTCTTATACATTAAATTTATTTTATACAATAATTTTATATATTGACACAATAAATTATTCTTATACTCTTCCTTAATATGATTGTATCAATAATATATTCTATCAATAACTTATTGTATATTAATCGACTATCAATAATTTATTCTATATTATAGAAGGGAGAGAATAATTTATTGTATCAAATATTTATAAAAATTTGGAGGCAAACTATAATGAAGAGGATAAGATTAATTTATTATAATATGTATGAAATTAATATGTTATTATAAATAATGAATTATTGCAATATAAATTCCCTTTTAATTTGATGTTATTAATGAAATAAGTAATGCCACATTTGCGATGAGCATTAGGATGTCAACGTGGCATCCAATGTGGATGTTATCATAATTCTGAATTATGAGGATTTCAATTTATATATTATATAGATACGGATTCTCAACCTTTTTAAACAAGTTTTATTCTTGCCTCGTCATGCTCATTCATTACAAATGGATTTATCGGTCTTGAACTTATAATAGAAATTGTCTACCTATTGGATTTTATCTATTTTTCAATTTAAATTCCTCCTTTTTTTTTTTTTAAATCCATTAAAGCTTATATTTTCCCCTTTATAATAGTTTCGCACCATTTGTATCTATGCATAAGTATTAATATTGTATTTTCCATTTGTTATATATTATATATATTTACTGTTTAGTTTTAATCTTTCTCTTCATATTTATATTGCATATGTTGAGTTAGTTTGTTATTTCATTTATTTCTGAAATAAATTTATATCAAAGTTGATATGGCCGAGTTGGTCTAAGGCGCCAGATTAAGGTTCTGGTCCGAAAGGGCGTGGGTTCGAATCCCACTGTCAACAAATAATTATTTTTTACTCTTTTCGCCATATAATTAAAAATTAAGGTCAAATTTTAGTAATTAGTCCCTCATCTTATTATTTAGTTACATTTTAGTCCTTGGTGCTCCTATTATCACATTATCATCCTTTCATCTTATTATTTAGTTACATTGTAGTCCTTCATGTTCCAATTATCACATTATCATCCTTCATCTGATTATTTAGTCACATTTTAGTCCTTGATGTTAGAATTATCACATTATCATCCTTCAACTCTACACCTTTTCGCCGTATAAGTAAAAATTAAGGTCAAAATCTCACTAAAATCTATCTCAATTTAGTCTTTCGGTATATAATTTAGTTAACTTCTATTCTTAATTATTTGTAATAAACTTTAAATAAATACTAGAAAAACATATAGTTGAATTAGTTCTTTAATATTAACACAAGATCATAAAAAATATAAACAAATTTTGATAGATATCATATATATAGATGACATATTATAGTTATTTAACTATGTTCCTAATTTCAAGTCATATCCACAAAATAAATGATTTGTTTTATATTAATATAAATTAATATTTCGTATTAAAAGTAGTTTTTTAAGTTATATTTTTCGTGGTTGCAAATATTATTTTTAAATTACAAACTTTATTATTTAAAAGAAATCATAATTTATCAAAAATAATTTTAACAATAGAACATTTCATCCATTTAAAAAAAAAATCCCGTTAAAGTTACAAGTTTATACATCAAGGGATGTTAAGAAAAATATTCACAGGAAGAAGAACCAAATCAAGAACAAAATTAATTTAAAAAGTAAATTCATTTCAACCATGGGGGATACACATAAAGCAGAGTTGTAAAACCAAAAGATTCAATAGCAGCTTTGTACCAACGCCTAATCTATTAACGAAACGTAGATAAACAAGACACTATTTCAACTGCTCTAACAAAATTCTAATTCTCGAAAAATGCTCGTCTACTATTTTTTCTTGACCGAAAGGCATATCGATTTCAGAATACTTGTCTGATATTGATGTTGATTCTTGATGTCCTGACGTAATTCAAGTATGGTTTTTCATCTTCTCCAGTAAACTGAGATTCAAGATCGGATATCTCGGCGTTTTCTGCGTCAGTGAATATCCGAGGAACACCTGAGATAGTCAAAGACAAACGAAAACTCGTCAAGTTAGATACCGGATTTAATTACTTAGAACAATTTAAAATTCCCTAATATGAAGAACGATTATCCAAGAAACGTAAAACGCAATTTGGATTCCGTAAATAACATCAATGTACCAGAAAAAGCACCAGGGTTGACCCAAATAAAACCAATCTTTTAAGGCCTCGTTTGGTTGGGGAGATTAGCAACGATTAACTAAATAATTGGACTTTGTTTAATGTTTGTTAAACCCAAGGACAATAATTATGTGGTCCAATAACATAATTGGGTTTTTATTAGATTATTTAATCTCATTTCGACTAATTCCATCATGGCAACCAAACGAGCCCTAATGATTTTTACCGTGTCTAAGATCCCAACCTTTATAAGAATCCATTTCATTCAATCAAGCGAATAAGTCGACATAAAAGCAACTCACCAAAATTAGTTTGCTGAAAACCACAAACAAATAGTCGATACTCTATATAATTTAAGTGAATATAAACTAATATTTACCATGAAAGCACTCCCGAGCTTCTCCAGCCATAAGTACAACATCACCGCTTCGAAGGAACATTGCAGTTGGATTATGTTCCCTCGATTTGCCCCCGAGTAAGAAAATAGCTTTGCAACCCAAACTGATGATCGAAAAAAACAGTTTTCACATATCTTCCGGGCACCGGAGAAAATAAATAAGTTTCGACAAATACCTCATGCTCACTATAGGTTTACTCCAATCTTTTTCCATGTCATCGAGGTGCCCCCCAAGCATATCGCCTGAAAGAAAATACAGAAATATATCAGATTTTAAATTTAAAAACGAACCCAAAAAAAATAAACGAGACGGGATCCAGAAAATATAGAACACACCTGCTCCAAAATAATTAACTATGGCAGCTTCTGGCTGGAATTCTTCACCACACGGCATAGCCGGTTTTGCCATCCTTTTAGCTAACTGGTGTAGTGCATCGGGTATTTTCTTGTGAGGGAGAGATACATTATAGCTTCGCTGCAAAAATACAAAATATTTGTTTCAGCGAATCCCGATGCACATGCAAAACGCTAAAGAAATGGCTACTTTGTAAGGATAATAATAATAATAAATAAATAAATATGAAAGATCAATTCCCGGGACATCCCAAGAAATTTAGGCAAACGAAGAAAGCAGTTATAGAACCTCTTAATCCAATGATCGAGATACAATGATAGTGATAAACACATAACTCGATCGAACGCAATTAAATCGAACTATCAATCAAATAGAGGATTTAAGTAAGACCTTGGACCAGTCAAACTGCACGCCAAGTGTACTCCATCTTAACTTACGCAGCAAAACAGAAGCCAACACCGACTTGCACGATTCACCCAATTCTTCGACAAACTTCCATTGGAAAGTACTCTCGCTACCATTAATCTTCGAACAAGCATCTTCTAGAAGCTTCTCTTCTGAAACTAAAACCTTGCCCTCTTTAGCTGAATCAAATAAATCCTTTACAGGCCCGTATATCGCATTGTGGTTTGTTCGATTCGGGGGCTGAGGGAAGTTCGTCAAACTCTCCCTTATCCATTCACACTGCTCGTCAACGCTTAACGCACCAGGAATAAAATAAAAGCCTGCAATTTTGGAATCAACATTAGTTGGTTTCACACAGGCATTTTATCAAACACTTGTCAATAAAATATTTCAATAATGCAACAACGCATTGTACCCGGTCGACTTTCCAAGCAGAAAATAGGTCGATCGAAGTCGCATTTTAGCACCGAAACTCCTTCAACTAGTTCACCATTGCAATTGTATTTTTCTAAAATTGACTTGAAATCTACAACCTCTGATAAATCTACAGCTCTCGCTATCTTTTTCCTACATAATCAAAAAAAAAAAAAAAAAAAAAAAGCAGAATAATTCGAAAAAAAATCGTGAGCTGTATATTTCATCAAAATCTATGTGAAAAATCGGTTTTTTGAAGAAAATTACAGAAAAACGGAAAAAAGAACATATGGGATTAAGAAGTTACTTTCTGGTGTTGTCGTAATAGATTTTATACTTCTTCTCGGCTTTGCGAAAAGCTGTTCTCTCTGATTCTTCGCTGGTAACATCTGATCGGTACATTATCTCTGGAGCTGCAATGGCGCAATCTATAATTTTCTGAAAATTGAATTTGGGTATTATTGTGTATTTGCCTAGGGTTTCGGTAGTTGATTTTTTTTTTTTTTTAAATAATGTTAACGGTAAATGGTAGTTTCCGTTAGTTAGGATTAGACCCGACAATAAACTGGTTCGAACCCGGATCCAGATCGGAACCGAAATGTTGACCACAGGCCAGATTAATTGTTGACCCCGAACAAATCCAAAAACCGTGAATTGGATCGGATAATCCCGGTTCGATTAATGTTCGTATGTTCGGGTCAATTTTAATTTTTTTTTTGATATTTTTTATATGGCGGCGGTTACATGCAAGCCCATTTTTTTATTAGTTCAAAACCTCCAACATAAAAATACTAATTTACACTTAATGAAATTTAAAATCAAATAAAAAATGCCAAAACATTAAAAAATAAAAAAAAAATCATTTCATTTGTGCAAGACCAAATAAAATACATAAATCCAGAAACATTTTTCTTGTTTCACGACTTAAAACTCTCCTTCTTCTTCACAAACCCACCAAGAAATCCTACACACCAAAATTATCAAATACATACCAAACATTCACGATGGAACCAAAAAACAATGATATGGTGGTTTACGAGGGTGGAGAACACAATGAAATATGTTTTAACCGTTTATTTTTGCTTTTGGGTCGTTTTTTTTTTGTTGGGAAAAAAATTCGACGATACCAAAAATCGGCCTGCAAATACCGATTTTTGTTACTAAAGTCAGTAACCACATTCCGATTATTTTAATAAAAATCAGTACTTAAAAACCGATTTTTGTAGTAAAAATCGGCATGACAACACCGATTTGTTTTTGTATTATCGGTATTGTCATGCCGACTTGTACTACAAAAATCGGTTTTTAAATACCGATTTTATTATATGTGTTTTTTAAAGACCGTTTTCTCATACTTTTGTGCATCAACCTAGGGGATTGATGGAGTTTTATTCAAATGAATTATCTAACGAATAAATATTTGAGATACGGAAAGCTCTACTCGATTGGGTTAAAGGAGTGGTAGACGCCACTGAATGGTGATAAACATTTTCGTTTCAAATATTAAAAAAAAATATCAATTAACCAAATATATAATGTATTATTTAAAAAAAAAATCAAAAAATATCGGTATTCGAAAACCGATTTTGTACTCAATAATCGACATTAGAACGCCGATTTTGACTTGTAAAGTCGACGTTGTGTCGCCGACTTGGTTAACAAAAATCGGCATTATGACGCCGATTTTCGTGTACAAAATCGGTTTGGATAAACCGATTTGGGAAACCAACGAAAAAAAATAAAAAAAACCAATTTGAATCTCAATTTTTTTTCCAAAATCGGCCAAATCATTGCAACCCAACAAGAAATAAGCATAGATTATAGTTCATTCATACATATTTATCAAGAATCGATGTTCGATTAATGTTTTCGAATTTACAAATAAAAATTTAGTAAAAAGGACATCGATGCTCGATTAATGTTTTCGAATTTACAAACAAAAGTTTAGTAAAATGGACTTACTTGTTGGTGGTGGTGCGGTGGTGGTAATGGTGCGGTGGGTGGGTCGCTGGTCATCGCCGGTGCGGTGGAAGTCTCGCTCGCTGGTTGGCGTCGCTGGTTAGCAGTCGTGATATTTCTTTTTTCTTTTTTTTTTTTTTGATTTTTGGTCCTGAACAAATTAAAAATAATATTTATTTGTTTTGAGTATTATTTGTGGATAAGGGTATATTTGTCATCTTTGGTCTTGATGTAATAAAATTAGATTAATTTACGGGCTTGAACTAATAAACTCATTTATGTGGTTTTGAACTAATAAAAAAATAGGCTTGCATATAACTGCCGCCTTTTTATATAATAGAAAGTGGAAAATAAATTCCGACAGCGGTAACTTTAATTTTAATTTGGAGAGTTGGTACTTAGTCTCTACTATTGAGTAGAGGTCTAGGGTTCGAATCCTGTCCCCTCCCCCACTTCCTCAATTTATAACAAAATACGTAAACTACATTAGATTAACCACATCCACATGTGACAAATTCGATTTATCGATCCTCGAGTAAAGGGGCTCAAATTGTACATAAATGATATTTACCTAGTGTCACATATGTGTTGCTTTGTTTGTTCAAAAATAAAAATAAAAATCATCGGGCATTAGTTAATACTAATATGTTATGTTGTACTTTTATCCCGATCTACTAAAATGTTAAATGTCGTTCAATTCTACTAATATCGTTTCGGCTTTGAAAATGTGATTTTACCCATTTTTCTAGCCTGATTTTAACAAAATTCAAAACATGGAAATTGTTGTTCTTTGAGTTATATTTCGAATCCAACTTGAACAACTATAGTGAATGCCAAGTGATAAAAAAATATGAATAAATGTGTTACATTTTGACTTTTAAATAACCAAAAGATCAATGTTCATCAATTTATGCATATATTTTACGGTCATCATTCAATTGTGGTAATTCAAATTGGATAAAAAATATTAACTCAAGAAACTACAAATTCCATGTTTTGAGCAATGCTAAATTCAGATTAGAAAGTGGTCAAAATAAAACTAAAACATTTATCACATCAGTATTCGTACGTTTATATTAATAATAATAGAGTGTAGGCCCATGACAAGGGACTTAAATGCATATAGGTTCAGATAAAAAATACTCTTGCAACCCCTTTTTGTCTAAAATACCCTCCATAATATATTTTTTATCAAATCTATCCATTATACTAGGGGTGTAAACGAGCCGAGCCGACTCGTGAGCTCGACGAGCCGGCTCGTAAAAAGCTCGAACTCGGACTCGAGATTTTCGAGCTCGAGCTTTCTGACGAGCCGAGCTCGAGCCGGTTTTCAGTTGTTCATGAGCTCGCGAGCCGGATTTATTATTATTTTTCATGTTTTATATGTTATTTTTATTTAAATAATGTATAATAATATAAAATATTATATAATACAAATATTAAAAATATATATAATTACAATTTAGTTTTTATTTTTTATTTTTTTAAATAATTTTTAATAATAAAATAATAATTAAAAAAATATTAAAAAAAAAAAAAGACAAAGGGCTCGAGCTCGACAAAATTGACACGAGCTCGAGCTCGAGCCAAAAAAAGAGGAACTCGACGAGCTCGAGCTCGACAAAATAAACTCGAGCTCGAGCTCGAGCCAGCCAAAAGAGGCGAGCTCGGCTCGTTCACACCCCTACATTATACTATAACTTCATCAAAATTACACATTGACCTCAGATTTGAACAAATATATCACATTAACCCCCATTTTCAAAATTCTTTGAAAGAAATTTTTTTTTTCAAATAATCATATTTTTTATGAATTTTTTTTCCGGCCGGATTTCGGCGTTGACTTTTTTTGTCTTTTTCCTGAATTTTTTTTCCGACCGGTCTCTAGGGTTGCCTTTTTTTTTTTATTACTGTGTTAAAAAGAAATTATGTGTAAGATAGTAATACTGAATAACGAAAAAGTAATATTAGTATTACTGTCCCGAACACTAATATTATAAATATTACTTTCTCGAACAGCAATATTACAAATTGTCCCAAACAGTAATATTATTGCATGAAATAGTAATATTACGGTCGGAGATAGCAAAATTGCAGAGCAAGACGATAAAATTAATTAATACAGTAAAATTACTGTCTGAGACAGTAATATTACTATCTCAGACAATTAAATTACTGTTGGAGACAGTAATTTAGCAGTCAAGACAATAATATTAATTAAAATAATTTGTTTTAAGAAAAAAACAAGTTATCAGAAAGAAATGAAGTTAAAAAAAAAAAATCAATGCCGGAAATCGACGGTCAACTTTAGTTGACCTGCCAGAAAAAAAAATTGAGAAAACAAAAAATCAACGCTGGAAACCGGCGGTCAACGGCGGCTGACTGACGGTCTCCAGCTGTGGCGGTCAAAATTGAAATAAATGTCAAAATTGGTTAATTGGTGAAATTGAATTAAATTAAAGTGAATCATGAAATTGGAGTTGAATTAGGGTTTCAAGGAATTAGAAGTAATTTTGGTATAAATAAATGGGTTTTCCTTACTTGCAAATAAATTTGAATAAGTTGGATTTATTTGAAAGAAAAGAAAATTAGATGTCCCTTAGTTAATTAAACCGACCTTGTCATAGGCTTACTTGCCATTTATTTGGGAGGAAACTACAGATAAATCCCTAATCCAAAATTCAACTCACAGATCAGTCCCTAGGTAGTTTCCCCAAGCAATTCAGTCCCTACTCACGCGCCTAACATGCAGTTCAGTCCCTAATAAAATGTGCAAATACTAAAATACCCTTTACTTTATACTAATTTTACATAACTTCTTTACAACTTCCAACGCGCCGTTTGTGTTACACGCTCTTTGCCCGTTACATTTCAAAAATCAAACAACAAAAAAGAAGCTAAAAAGGCGCAGAAAAAACCACCGTTCAGTTATACCCATTTTCAGACCAAGAAGAAACGAAGAACATAGAAACCAAGAAGAAACGAAGAACAAAGAAGGAAAAAATTACGAAGCACGAAGAATCAACAAACCGCAGAAAAATAATTAAGCGAACAGAAAAATAAAAATAAACAAACCCATTTATAAACAATGGTGAAGCAGGGGAAACAACAAGGTTTGATTTTTTATTTTTTTTTTCATTTTCTTGGAAACAGACCCATTTGGGTGTTGATTAAGCAGGGCAAAAAGGTTTATTTGTTATAGAATTTCATGATTTTGAACATATCCACTCATGGGTATTATGCCTCGACTTTATTCGGTGTTTCCCCTAATCATTAAATCGGTTCCGATATTTGTTGTTCTGTTGTTTGGGTTTGCAAAGATCATTTATTTGTTGTCGAATTTCATGATTTTGTAACAGTTTTCTCATGGGTATTATTCTTCGGTGACATTAGCATGTCCCCAAAGCATTTTGAGTCCTAACAAGGGTTTCATATAGGATATGGGAAAGAGGCTTATTGTATTTTTCGTACTGGTTCTATAGTATGTGTCATGCGCAGTAATAGTATTAATAGTGCATTTAGATGGTATTAACATGTGGTACTCGAAGTATAATCTTTGATGGTTCTGTAGTATGTGTCATATGCCACAATAGTATTACTAGTGCCTTTGAATGGTATTACTAGTGAATTCGGATGGTATTGACATGTGGTACTAGAAGTATAATGTTTGATGGTCCTGTAGTATAAGTCATATGCCATAATAGTATTACTAGTGCCTTTGAATGGTATTACTAGTGACTTCGGATGGTATTGACTTGTGGTACTAGAAGTATAATGTTTGATGGTCCTGTAGTATAAGTCATATGCCATAATAGTATTACTAGTGCCTTTGAATTGTATTACTAGTGACTTCGGATGGTATTGACATGTGGAACTTTATAGTACGTTGTATTTGTTATAATTGTATTTGTTTTATGTGTATGTAATTGCAGGAATTGTTGTAAAAGAAGATTGCAGCAAGCTATCAATAGGCTGCAGGTGCTCACCGTTCGCCTTTCAAACAACTATGGAAGGTGTGAAAAAAGTGATGAAGAAACAACATTATGAAGTACTGAAGAAAAATCCATTCTATCACTACATGGACATGCCTAAAATAAACCACAGCTTCCCTAGGGTTGTGTCTCTCATGCAAGCGTACAATGCAGAAGATCGGGCCTTCTGGTTTGGGGAAAATACTATACGCTTGGAATTCACTCCGCTGCAATTATCTATCGTATTAGGGTTGCAGTACGAAGGCGTACCGGTGGATGTGAATATGGATGGCAGAGACACTGATTTCATTACACGAATTTTTGATGGTAAGTTATCATTAATGACGAGGCCATATATTGGTTATTGAAATAATTTATGGTCCCGAATTCGTTTAATACAGAGGTGTTGTCTAAAGTGTTATGACACTTGAACAAACATACAGCGGAAATATAAAACAAAGGAACAATACTCAGAATTAAAAATGTTCACAAGTAAAGACTTGTGAACTTGCCCTTTACAGGACGGAAAAATATATTAAAATCAGTATTCCAAGAATACAAACAGAAGAGGTGCGAAAACTTCTTCCTTATGAATGAATCTTTTTCAAGATCATTCTTACAATCAAATCTAGATACTAAAAGAAAAATATTAAAAATTTTAGATTTCAAAGAATGTACTCATAAGGAGTACGTACAACAGATCCTAGAAAACACACTAAAATTCTCGAGATTAAAACTTCAGCTCTATTTTGTTTCCTCGAAATCTGTACAAATCTTGAGTCTTGAGTTTGGTATTTATAGACTTGCCAAGCTTCCACTCCTCAGCCCATGATCTGCAAGAAAACCAACCACAAGAGCACTCAAGATAATGGGTTAGTGGGTTAGTTAGGAAGTTAAGATAAATTCCATAATTAATTCCACTAAGCACTACTTAACCCACTAACTAAGATTTAGTTTAGAGTTTAAGAAAAGTTAAAAACACATTGTGAAATTAATTCACGTGTTTCAAACTCCCCCTTTTTAACTTTCTGATCAAAACTAAATCGTAGTCAAAGACTCCCCCTGAGATATTGCTTGAACTCCCCCTGAATTTGATAACATTTGAAAAACATAGAAAAAATAAATTAAAACCAAATTCAGCAAGATAGTCCAACAAAATAAATAACCAAAGTGCAGTCCTAAACAAAAGTTCAGAGGGAAAATAAACAAAACACAAACAAAAACAGAATATTGTTCATGAAAACAATCTAAAGTAAAATATCCAGAGTCTCCAAGGTCTCCTCAGTATCAGCTGCTGCTCCTCCATCACTAGATCCACTGCTTTCTTCTGCTCCTTGAGCTTCACCCTCTTTCTTTGCTTCCTCTTCATTAACTCCTTGCTCTCTGCCTCTAGCATCCAAAGGGTGAGATGTTCCTGCTTCAGCTTCATGATCTTTTTCTCCCCCTTTTTGATCAGAAAGAGCCTTCTGAATCATCTCCACCATGGACTGATGATAGGTAATCTGAGCTAGAGAATGAGTAAGCTGCTGCAATAGAAGATCTCTAGGAACAGACACAAGAAGGTTAGAAGTGTTGTCAACATGAGGTGCAACACCCTCAGTACCAATGTTATTTTGACTTGATTCAGTTGAGAGAAAATTATCTCCATTCCAGGGAAGATCTTGAACATGAGGAGCTCTCAGAAAATTTTGAGAAACAGTGATCATGCCTTGTGGAGTGTGAAGATATTCTGAGTCATCTTGGCCCAAATTTTGAGAGAGTAAAATGGAGTAGATGAGAGAAGGATAGGGAAGATGAGTGGAGGGTGAAATTTTCTGGGCAAGATGACCAATAGTATCAAAGAACAGTTTACCAAAATCCACTGGTAAGCCCATCCCCAATTTGTACATGAGTACAGCATGAGGTTTAGTTACCACATAGACATTTTTGGATGGAATCCAATTCATCACTGTGAGTCTAAATAAGACAGAGTAAAAGGCAGTGAGTTGAGAGACTTGAAATTTTCTTGGGTGTGCAGGCCAACTTCTTAAACGGTTTCCAGAAATAACTTTGAAAATCTCAGTAAAATCACCATAATTATCCTCATCAATCACAGTAGGAGTTTGTAAATGAGAGTTGATAATTTTGGGAGAAAAAGAAAAGATGGCATTGCGCACAAAAACTTTGCCAAAGTTTGGAGAGTTTTTCTTTAAAAAGGAGGTTTGCAAATTGGCATAAAATTCCTTCACCACCAAGGGATCATAAGAGCAGGCAATCTCAACTAGGTTAAGGATTTTTCTTTGGTGAAGAAAAGCAGTTATCCTATGCCTATCAAATTCTTCCTTAGAAATTTTCTTTTCCTCAATGAATTGACAATTCATGACTTGAGGACTCAACAGTGAATCAGATTCAAAATAAAAATGAGGACTGAAGGCATTGGTTACCTCAAAAGGAGTTGACAAATTCTTCCCATCCAGGTCTGGTTCTTCTTCTTCTGAGGAGTCATCATCTTCTGAATCTTCAAGCTCATCAGGGACATATGCTGGTTCAGGTGATGCAGCAAGTGGGGCAACACCTTCTTCCTGCTGAGAAGAGTCTTCAGAGGATTCACTGTCAGAATCAGAGGAGGGCAAATTTTTGCGAAAAGCAGCTAGAGGAACCTCCCAGCTGTCATCACTTTTCTCTGGTTCTTCAGCCTGAGGAGGAGCTGCATCTGCTTGAACTGCTGCTTCTGCCAGGGTTTCCAGAGGATCTCCATGAGGTGCTGATGGAGTTTCTTCTGTAGTGGTGAAATCTTGAGCATCCACAGATGGAATGTCTACATGCTCTGCTGATGACATTCCAGAAAAATCAGGCATTTCTTCATCCTGATAAAGGGCAGCATCCTCAGCAGCATTCTGAGGAACATTTGCTGAAACAGTAGGTGCAGCAGCATCTTCTGGAGCATGTGCAGCAACACCTTCAGAAACAGGTGCAGCAACACCTTCAGGAACAGAATGTTGAGAGGCTGCTGTTGCCATGCTGGGCTGTGACGTCTCCCCCTGAGTTGATGCTGGGGAAGGTGAGTTGTTGGATGATGACTCGGAGGAGCTGGAGGACAAGGCTTGAGCCTGTGGTGCAGCAAAGGTAGGATCCCCTGCTTCATCATCGGTTTCTTCATCTACCAGATGAAGACCTCTTCGTGGATTTGACTGAACTGGAGTGCGGCCACCTCTGCCTCCTCTTCTTCCACCTCTGCTTCCTCTCCGGGGAGAGTTTTCTCCTCTCCGGCGCTGTGGCACCGCTGTATTCAGATCTGGAAAAGGGTTCGTGCGCTTGGACCGGCGCTTTGGAAACCTTCCGGCGGTGGAAGAGGGACCCACAAAATCAAAATTGTCTGGGTCAATCGGGTTCAGCTCATCTCCGGGCTCAATGTAGCTGATTGGAACAGCTTCAAAGTTTATTGGATGAACGATGATGGCTAGATTTGGGTCTGCTGGTACAGGTGCTGCAGCATCGTTGTGGACTTCACCATCGGCGGCTGGAGGAGGATTTCTAGGTGGGGATGCCATGATACAGTAGATAAAGGAAAATAGCTTCTTTGTGCTTTTGATTTTTGAGTGTGAGTTTTTGAGAAAAGAAGCACTTAATTTATAAGCCCTAATTTTTTGCTGAAGAAAGAAAGAAAAATTGAAGTGGAGAAGGTGAAGAAGTGGTGTCCGTTTTTCTTGGGGAGAGTGTGATTAAGGAGAATAAAATTTCCTTGGCAGTTTAAAGAATAACCGTGACACATGGCACAATAAGGAGTGGACTTAGTGGAAAAATAAGGGATTAACCCATGTACCCATGACCCATATAAATAGGGATAATTCAAAAAAAATAAAACCGTAGCACTCATGAAATATTCACAAAAATAGATAAACACATTTATTAATGATTAATAGTGAGAAAAAATTTGCTGACAGGCATAGATACAATTATATATATATTTATTATATTTCTTTATATATATATATATATATATATATATATATATATATATATATATATATATATATATATATATATATATATATATATATATTTTTTAATTTTTTTTTTTTTTTTTTTTTTTATATAATATATATATATATAAACTCTTATTTTCAAGTCAAACAATTCACATGGAACATGATCAAGTGTTCAGTTTGAAGGTTCCTCAGTTACTAAGATATGACTATCAAAATAGAGGAGTTTGACTTATGTGAGTGTAATTATTGGCTAAATGTTTACATGAAGCATGATCACGTTTCAAGGTGAAAGACTTCCAGTTACTGATTTAGAAAATAATACATCACAGTGAAGTCATTATTTAATGAAGCTAATGCTTCAGTAAATTGTGTTGCAGCTTAAGATATTTGATGAGGTGCTGCAACACGTTTCAGGACATGTTTATTGAGTACACATCCCGAGAGATTTTCTGAGTTTTGAAAACCTCTCATAATCTAATGCCTTTGTAAAGATATCAGCCAGCTGATCTTCTGTAGGAATGTACTTTAAGCACACAATATTTTTCTCAACTATATCACGAATAAAATGATGTTTAATATCTATGTGTTTAGTTCGTGAGTGTTGAACAGGATTTTTTGAAATGTCAATAGCACTTGAATTATCACAATATATGGTCAGGGTATCACTGGCTAACCCATAATCGCCCAACATTTGTTTCATCCAAATTAGTTGACCACAACACCCTCCAGCAGCTACATATTCTGATTCAGCTGTTGAGAGAGATACACAGTTTTGCTTTCTACTAAACCAAGAAACTAGATTATTCCCCAGAAAGAAACATGCACCTGAGGTGCTTTTTCTGTCACTAATATCCCCAGCCCAATCAGAATCACTAAAGCCTATCAAGTTTGTATTTGTGTCTTTGAAAAACTGAATCCCTAAGTCTACTGTACCTGCAACATACCTAATAATCCTCTTCACAGCTTTAAGATGAGTGACCTTGGGATTAGCTTGATATCTGGCACACACACAAACGCTAAACATAATGTCAGACCTGCTTGCTGTTAGATACAGAAGGCTTCCAATCATGCTTCTGTAGAGAGTGTTGTCGACATCTTCTGCAACATCATCCTTAGACAGTTTTTGGCTGGAACCCATTGGAGTTTTCATGTGCTTGGCTGATTCCAACTCAAACCTTTTGACCAAATTGAGAGCATACTTCTTTTGATTCACAAACATTCCTTCACCTGTCTGTTTGATTTGGAGCCCTAAGAAGTAATTCAACTCCCCTACCATACTCATTTCAAAAGTGTGAGACATAGAATCTACAAAAGACTGCAAAAGGTTAGCACAAGTAGAGCCAAAAACAATGTCATCAACATATATCTGAACAATAATGATATGATTATTAGTTCTTCTAACAAACAAGGTTCTGTCTGCCTCCCCTCTTTTGAACTGTATTTCAAGTAAGAAGTCAGTGAGTCTTTGATACCAAGCTCTAGGAGCTTGTTTAAGACCATACAGTGCCTTCTTAAGCTTGAAAACATGATTAGGTTTGGCAGAATCTTCAAAACCCTTTGGCTGTTCTACATATGCTTCTTCATTTAAAACTCCATTCAGAAATGCACTTTTGATATCCATCTGATACAGTTTGATTTTAAGAAAGCAGGCTATAGCAAGAAGTAATCTAATAGATTCAATTCTAGCTACTGGAGCAAAAGTCTCATCAAAGTCTATACCCTCAATTTGAGTGTATCCTTGTGCTACTAACCTAGCCTTGTTTCTAACAACTGTACCTTTTTCATCAGTTTTGTTTTTGAAGATCCACTTAGTTCCTATCACATTTACATGGCTTGGTCTGGGAACTAAGTACCAAACATCATTCCTGATGAATTGATTCAACTCTTCATGCATTGCATTGACCCAGAATTCATCCTTCAGAGCTTCTGCAATATTCTTTGGTTCCACTGAAGACACAAAACAAGTGGTTCCAGTTAGTGCACATTCAGAAGATAAATTTGCAAATCTTACCATATCTCTGTAGTTTACTCTCTCTTTTCTTCTGGTCCTTATTCCATCAAAGATATCTCCCACTACTTGAGTTGATGGGTGATTTTTCTGAATTCTGCTTGATGGTTCCTTTCTGCAGACATCAAAAGTTGGCTGCAATTCAGTCTCTGTAGGATGTGTTGAGTCAGATGTGGTGACACTTGGCTCAACACCTTCTTCTCTTAAGACTGGACTGTTTGTGTCTGGGCTCTCTGTGGTAGAAGTGTCTTCTTCTGTTGTTTCTCTTTCAGCAATTAAGTCATCAACTTCATCTTCAGCTGTTTTACTGCGGAGATCAGCAAAGTCATCAAATACCACATTTACAGATTCAATAATGGTTCGAGTTCTTAGATTATATACTCTATAAGCATGACTGTTATTAGAGTATCCCATAAATAAACTCAAATCACTTTTTGAATCAAACTTAGCTAGATGATCTCTATCATTTAGAACATAGCAGACACATCCAAACACATGCATGTATTCTAGATTAGGTTTCTTACCATAAAGAATTTCATATGAAGTCATCATAGATCCTAATCTTAGGTACACACGGTTTGAGATGTGACAGGCTGTGTTGACAGCCTCAGCCCAAAACCTCTTAGACAGATTTTTTGCACTCATCATCACCCTAGCCATTTCCTGGATGGTTCTGTTTTTTCTTTCAGCAATGCCATTTTGCTGAGGAGTTTTTGGAGCAGAAAATTCATGCTTTATACCCTTTTTATTACAAAATGCAACAAATAAAGCATTCTCAAATTCTTTTCCATGATCAGATCTTATCCTACGAACAGAAACTTGAAATTGAGTTCTAACAAACCTGTACAAATTTTTGAATACATCAAAAGTGTCTGATTTTTCTCTTAAAAAGTACACCCAAGTATACCTTGAAAAATCATCAACACACACAAAGACATATTTTTTACCACCTAGGCTTTCTACCTCTATAGGACCCATAAGATCCATATGTACAAGTTCAAAACAAATAGTGGTACCAACGTGTTGCAACACTTTGTGTGGTACTCTGGTTTGTTTTCCCTTCTGGCACA